GCAGAGGCCATTGAATTGAATGAGCATCTAGGATGCTGAGGTGAAAAACATTGTGACTCAGTTCTATGCTTTGTTGACGGGCTTTGTGAAGTAAATAGAATTTCACTTCATTCCATAATAAATATATGATATTCCGTCGAGTCCCTGGCAGTATGATTGACAGTTATTGTTTTGCAGTTGCTAAGGGTGACGTGCATCACAGACGGAGATGGACGGGTGTCCCAACACTGGGGGATGAAGAAGTGTGCTGCTCTGACTGTGACAATGGGCTCCATTCATCTGCAACGAAATTGTCATCCTCACTGTACTCGCCTCTCCGCAGAGCCAGCACCACCAGCTTTAGGAAAAATCAATCATAGCAAAGAACTTCTATAATTAGACAGAGGACAGACTCTGTAAACAGAGCAGAAAATGTTTAGTGTGGAAGCAACCATGAGTAATCATTGCATAAGGTAGCAGTGCATGTTAATTATCCGCATTATGTATTTTCCGCAAATGGCACATGTGGGGTGCAATACTTTAATAAATATGACTTAAACTGTGAGTTTTGAAGATTTAGTACCTAGACATTATTGGAGAGGAAACCACAAATGACTAAATGTTTGGGCCATGACTAGCTGATGTGTCATGTTGACATTCTGTTAACATCCATTAGATCATATCTTAGAGAGGAAAGCATTATCTGCTGTGCTCTTATCTGACATTTAAGGTGCGATTTTGACAATTTCATTTGACAATGAAGATAATTTATAATCTGTAAATTGCTGTAAAGTGGTTTTAATAAGAAAGCTGTATCAATTCTTTTGGAGTAAAAATGGCATCAGAGAATCTTTCTCAATACATCAGTCTCATAAGGAGAAATGATTTGCATAGGCCCTACATCTCTTCGAGAAGGATAGAGATATAACAAAACCGGACTCATTGCTATAGCATTGCTGGAACAAAAATATGTTCTAAGAACATTTTGTGTTAGGAAAATTTATTCCGAAATGTTCACTGAATGTTCAAAATGTGCAGTTTTTAAAATGTTTTAAGTTTTTTTTTTTTTTTTGTTATGAGAATGTTAAGTGAACATTCCATTTTAGCATTTTGCAAACATTATGAAGACCTTACTTTTGAATGTTCTCTAAACATTCTGAAATAAGTACCAAGATTTTTAAAAATGTTAGACTAACATTCAACTAAAATGTAAAAAAAAAAACAACAACAAAAAAAAAAACTGCATGAATGTTGTACAGATAATGTTTTTGTGCTAACGTTTTGAGAACATTTTTAAAGACCAGATAACTTTGAATGAATGTTCTATTAATCTTACTGGAATAACTTTGAGTGAACATTGCCAGAACGTGAGGGAAGTTCTGAGAATGCTGTTATCTAGGTTTTTTGCAACATAAACAAACATCAACTTTGATCAGATATCATTGATTATATTATGATTGCAGATCTGCTCATTTGTTAGTGTTGCAACAATTTGAAGAACTCGTTTTGCAGTTTTTGTTGTGCTGATTAAGGTGATAACCATTGACTGACTACAATTGAAAATACGCTGAGAAATGTCACAGAGAGGTGCAAAGTGCCATGTTAGTACTCTGATCACAAGACAAGACAACTCCTATCTTGTGCTGCAGTCTGTGAAAGAGCCACAGTCTAAAACCAAGCACAGAAAACAAGACAGAGAGGTCATGAGAGGACAATTTTACCATGTTCTTCTCCAAATGCCATTATCTTTCTTTTTTGAGTAGACATACAAATGCATTACTTGATGATCATTTCATAACATAAGGTGGTCATCAATAATAAAGAAAGACAGAAAGACAAGTGAATGTGACTGTCTCCAGAGGTTCTCCCTTTCTCACATGAGAGGTGGGAGTTTACTGTTATAAACAGTCACTTCCCCTGAGGGCAGCAGCATTGAGCCAAGGACCAGCAACACAAGGACACACACAGACCTTTGGGAATTTAAACATCTGAGAACAGCAAGACTTATGTTGCTGTGTATTTGATTTAGAAATTGTATTTACATGATGGCTAAGTCAGGTCTGTCCAGTGGAGAGCAATGCATCAAATACATCATGTTCATCTTTAATTTCATATTTTGGGTTTTTAATACAGTTCACTCCTAAATGTTTATTTATTGTGGAAAAAAGTGTACATGTGTGACATAATGTCTAATATAGACTTGCTATTCTGCCTAAACAGTAGGCTAGTCTTTTAATTTGGTTTTTAGACAAACTTCTAAAAAATAATTTTTGGATTATTTAATATAAAAATTGCTACACATATATGATGTTAAAGGCTGATACCTGATTTGCTGAATTGATTTGTCATTGATTGGCTCTCTGTCATTTCGAAAAGCGCTATCGCCTACTATGGTGAAGGCACACCTTATTAATATTAATTAAGTAACGTATTGTACGGCGTCTGGATTGGTGAGAAGTGGGCAATACGTTGGTATATGATCGCAATTGCGTTGATATGTTGGCGAATTAATTTCCTTATAACACTCCCCTATATTCGTTAAAAAACTAAAAAGTACTTGCTTGTTATTCGAAATAAAAATGCGAATCGACTCATGACTAATAATTAGAATAGATTACGTAAGTGTCATCTTCAGGAAGGTCACGAAAGAACGTCAGCATGCCCTGATTAATATTCATGAGCCAAGACTTCGCCATAGTGTGATTCAAAATACGGCGTTATGGGCAGCGGGTAAGCAAAACATGTTCAGAAATCAACGACAAAACAAATAACGTTCTATTAACTATTACTTATGTTCTTGTAAAGATTTGTTCGAGAGATTTTCGCATATTGGTTGAGCGGTTCACGAGAAGGCAAGTTTCAGACTAAAAACTGATAACGTAGGCTAATCCAAGTCTACGATGGTAAATTGAACACGTAAAAATTTTGCATACCTGTTGCTAGGCAACCACATCCCTAATCCATCCCACGAATGAGGTTAAATTTAGCCCCAGGGATGAAAGGTAAACGCATGTAAACTTTAGATCTCACAAAGAACGAAATAAGGACTTAAGGACAGAAACCAATTACCTATATGTAGTCCACATAGGGGGAAAAATAGAAATGCAGTGTTATATAAATAATCTATATTAGCACTAACCAGTTTGGTTGAACATTTGGAATATAGAGAAAGCAAATGCTTCCCCTGCTTTAGCTAGAAACTTAAAACAAAGTGTGTTTACTTTGATTCACGTAATCTGATACGCAGTGGGTTTGTCTCAGAAATTGGATCTTCTGGACTGCTGAGATTTGTCCACACCCTATAAAGCCTGACATAAAAACAAATAATAGTACTTTTTTTTAATGGAACTTTACTCAACCTTTAGACAAAATACTAAAAATATGTGTTTGTCTTTTATGTTGTTTTTATCACATTTAATTCATCAGGTGTTTATGGCCCATATAGTATGATGCAGGAGAATATGGAGCCTGATATTTATATTGCCAAAAATATGAAATTCTGATTCCTTTGTAATGTAAATCAACAAGATCTCTATAGCAACAATATAGCACACTACTTATATAAAATGCATGTAAATATCAGTTGTCCCTTTATATCTCCCAATAATATGTTTTAGTAAGATGATATATAAATATATTTGATCAATTTAATGCATGAAGATTGAGAGATTTGCAAAAATGTTCCTCAGAAGCCTGATGTATCGTATTTGATACTTACATTTTAACAGGACTCCCCCCCCCCAAAAAAAAGATGTATGGATAATCAAGTATACCAAAGTTGCTTCAATCCAATAAGTGTTCATCTTGAAATGTTACTAACAGTAAGTTGTTATAACATTGACTTCATAAGGATCATTAATCAAGATTTCACAGCAAAAAAGACGTGTACCACAACCTTAAAAATTGGCGTTTTTAGAATAAAAACTCAAGCTTTGAACAGATAGAGGGCAGAAGGCATGTAGAAGATTGTGTACAGGCTGCAACAGGTTTTCAGGACAATTTTGATAAAAGCTGATCATTTGGAGGTCTTATAAAATAATGCATGATGTATGACACAGCAGGCTTCATAGGGTAATGTTCACTCTTCTCCCTGACCTCTGTCTCTAACCTGTCTGTTCACTTTAAGAGTGAAAAGGTGTTAAGCAAAGGGACAATAGATGTGTTCTGACTTCCCAGTGTTCCTGAGGGACAGCTCGAGTTACATGAAAATTTAAACCTGATCAGCTTGTGTTGATGCAGTTTTGTCAACTAAAGTGCCATGTTACGGTGGCCGAGAAGTGCTAAACAAATCACAATTCTTATTGCTAAAAATACTGCTATTTTAAATAGAATCCATTGCTAATACGAGATTTGAAAAGGGAGGGGAAAAAAGTTCGGCAAAAGGCGGGATCGAACCCGGGTCGATAGTGTCAAAAAGCCAACGACTCACGCTTATCCATCTGCACCACTGGAAATGATGATTTACAGCCACTTTTAACTAAATGTAAATATACACTCTGTATTTTTTATTCCATAGTAAGGGCAATTCATACAATACATTTAAACTGAGCTACTTTAATACCATCTCCGAACTTTCTACCACGACTCTGCTGTTCTTCGGCTGATTCTTCCTGTATACGTTGATTGACAGATATCTCGTCCAGTCAGCGGTGAGTAATCCCAAATCAATGGGCTGTCTCAAACTATACCTACCTCTTCCGGTTTGTCTGATTCGTCTTGTGTTTTGTGACTTGTTCATTTGTTTTCGGATTTGTCGTTGCGTTTTCTGACTTGTCATTTTGTTTTCGAATTTGTCATTGTGTTTTCTGACTTGTTATTTTGTTTTTTAGACTTGCATTTGCGTTTGTAATTTGTTATTTTGTTTTCAGAATTGTGATTTGTTTCGCAATACTCGGCCACCGTAGTTAGCTCTTTTTTCCGCCTGACAGAGTGGCTGGTAAGTTTTTTTCTGTGATCTTCCTCTACACTTTCCTGTCACACGGAAAATCTCAAATGGTTTTGCCCCTCCTCCTTCCTCTGACAAAGGCCAGGTAGGAGGGTACGGCCTGCTGGAAATTTTTTTTTTGTTCACTCCCTCTGTTTTTTAAGGTTGAAAACAAGCACGTTTCAGGTGCTCAGTATCGGGTGTTTTCTCTTAAAACTACGCTTACTTTTTAGCCATGGCAGCAGGTGGACTTCAGTGTATCAAATACTTGCTCTTTGTCTTCAACTTCATCTTCTGGGTAGGTGTTTTTACTTCATTACATAAGCACACGTTAATTCAACTGTATGTTTGTAGAGTAAAAAAGGGAACATAGTCACACTGAAATGTAAATGTGGGTTGAATGTGATGTGATGAGGGTATAAAAGTTTTTAGTTGCTTGTTTACTTGTCATACTTTGTGTTACTTAGTTTATCTATATTTGATGTAGTGCATGACAGACTTTACTCTTTGAGAGACACACGATCCTTAACATTTTGTATATAATTTAATAACACTTGAATTAAGTGTGAAATTAGTTTCTTGTTCACATGCCTTTTAAACAGAAACTGTGGTCAGACTGCATTTCGAAAACACACTGTCTAGCTCTATCTGGTATCTATTAGTTGCTCGTGACTATTAACCACATTAACCACGTTTTACGTGAGCCTGTTGAACCTCTAATTTTACTGTTGACTGAAAATGCGTTTGGAAAATGGTTTCGCTTGAATGTAAGACATTTTAACCAACAAACAACAAAAAATTAATGCACACATGTAGTTGCAGCCCGCTAAATTTTAAAACCGCACAAATAAGGTGTGGGGTCTTGGCCTGGCCTTAAGTTAGCTTTGTGGCGAGTGAACAAACTAGCAAACACGGAATCCATCCATCAGTAACTCCCATTGTGTGTGGATGGAAAAAGTCGAGATCAGTTTGGGAATCTTTGAGGGACAAGCCTCCACACCCCTGGCAGTGAGTCACCGTGACTCATATTTGTGACTGCAATTTTCCAAAACGGAAGGAAACTGGAGGATTGCAATGCAATTTGTCAAGTGCCAGAGATGCTTGTGTGTATGTGTGGGTTATTTTTTTTTTATTTTTTTTTTTATGTGAAATGTTACACCAGCTTTTTTACATGCACGACAATGAAATATGAACTGTCTGTTGACTATCAAAATGATCTATTTTGACTATAATCAAGTCTAAAGGTGTTTTTTTATTTTGTCTGTGGGCTGTTGATTAACTTTTGCCTGTGGGAACGTGTAGGAACAAGAACGATTACAATCTAGTACGTTACTCATTCATGGAAGCCACATTACAGTGTCCTGGGAATGGCTGGAGTTGGTCAAGACAAATAAGAGTTCGTTCAGCATATTTTGCATATCTCTTTCTCAATATTTGCACTGGGGAAGTAAGGTCTTGCTGTTGGAAGCAGGCTAGCAAGATTATCAGGTTGGTCAGCTTTTTGTTGAAGTGCTTTTGTACCATAAGGCTTGTTGGACTTCATTCTCTGTGGAAAAAGAGTGAAATGCTTAGTTTTGGGCCTGACTTCCTGTACACTCTGCCTTCATAAATAAATCCACGCTTGGCCTGCAGCTATGTTTCCTCTATTATTTGGTTGCTCAGTTTGCCAATGTCACTGTAGCTCAAACTAAACAAATCCCTAGATTTATTAAAGGGGTCATTTGATGTTGCTAAAAAGAACATTATTTGGTGTAATTAAATGTTTATGCGGTTTAAGGTTTAAAAAACACATTATTTTCCACATACTGTACATTATTGTTTCTCCACTATGCCCCGCCTTTCTGAAACGCATCGATTTTTACAAAGCTCATCGTTCTGAAAAGCAAGGTGTGCTCTGATTGGCCAGCTGTCCGGTGCGTTGTGATTGGCCGAATACCTCAAGCGTGTGACGGAAATGTTACGCCCCTGTGAAATTGTGATGCCCCGTCCGGCTGGAGCTACAACACGAAACACATGGCGGGCTAGAGTGAGCGGCGGCCGGCTTGAGTGAGCGGCGGCCGGCTTGAGTGAGCGGCCGGGGGCGGGCTTGAGAACGGCGCGGCCGGCGTATTCAACGAAGGAGCATCCGGCGGGCTTGCGGCAACCATATGTGATGACCCCGGGCTGGACTCCGCTTCGTCCACGGTGAAAGCCGATCTGGCGATCCACAGCGCGAAGTTGATGTATTTCCTCAGCGACCAGCAAGGATCAGCTCCAGGCATGACGAAGCGGATATCGTCCTCTTTTGGAAGGCCAAACAAAGTAGTTTCGCTTTCACAACGAAACACACAGCGCCTTCACGACATGGCGGCGGCGGCAACAACAATACTACAGCGAGAATAAAAGTTACGCCTTCTTTCTTTGCGTGAACATTTGGGCGGCGTTATGCAAATCTTCCCACATCGTGACTTAGACATGTGTGGGCGTGTTAGAACGAGCCGTTTTAGGTAGGAGTTGACTCTTAACTTTTATAAAGAATATCTCTTTGGATTTGAGACTTTAGTCTTTGCAACTTTACAGATCTTCTTTATGCACCAAGAGCTTGTAACACTCCAAAGAGAAAGGAAAAATTGAAATCACATCATATGACCCCTTTAAATCTTTTGTTTGTTTCCTCAGCTCGCAGGTACAGGGGTTTTCGCTGTCGGCCTCTGGCTGCGTTTCGATGAAAGAACTAAAGGACTCTTCACTGGAGAAGGTGCCCCGTCAGTGTTCCTCACAGGTGAGTTTGGCCTGGATTTTTAGGTTACCCTTTCTCAGTCCTCAATAATTTCTCAGTGATTCAAAAAACCACCCTTCTCTCCATACAAAATCGCATAGCTCCTTTTATCACCTACGTGATCAGGTCTTTGTAAGTTGATGTTTGGGAATGAGGTATAATGGTGGTCATGGAAACCAGCCACACCTATTTCCAGACACCAGACCATCTGTCATGTGAATGTTGCATTATGAACACTTTGATTCAACATGAAGCAAATGAAAGGTGAATCAGGATTTGTTCTGGCTTCTGTACAGATGATCAAAACTGATATATAAAAAAATAAACACACCTCACCTGTAAAAGTTTGGAATGATTAAGAAATAAGTTTATTATGCTCACTATTTATTTAATCAAAAATACAGTAAAAGCAAGCAGTAATATTATGAAAAATTATTACAATTAAAAAATTAGTCACGGTGAACTGTTTTCTGTTTGAATATATATTAAAATGTCATTTATTCTTGTGATGCAAAGCTGAATTATCAGCATCATTACTCCAGTCTTCAGTGTCACACAATCCTTCAGAAATCATTTAATATGCTGATTTGCTGCTTTATATAATTTTTTGATCATATAAATACAGCCTTGTTGAGCATGTGCGACTACTACTACTTTTAAATCATTAAAAAATTCAAACTATTGATGGACAACACCCTGACTCTGTCATTGAACATTCACTGAACAATCCTGTTCTTAAAGCGACACAAATAGCTTGACCACTACAAAAACATGGGTAATATTCAGAGCACTCTTATCTATTCTTCTAGGCTGTGTTTGTTTTATGAAAGGCACAAAGACTGACATCCTTGTTTCTGGCTTGTGGAAGAAGACCACAAAACAACCGGCAAAATGAACTTTAAACCGAAAACCAACCCCCTGATATAACAAGGGTGGAAACTGCCTAAATATAGTGACAGGGATGTTAGGTTTCTGTCTTCGTGTTTGTTTTTTAAGAGGCAGGTTTTTTGAGTTATAATGGCAGTGCTGTTTTGGAGTAGGCTGTCTTTGGCCCACACGATGCCAGCTCTCTGCCCCTTCCCATCATCCCTCACAGAGCTGCCTTTCTCCTCCTCACTAACAGAACCCGCATTGTTTGCTCCCTTCCCATCTCCTTTTGTTTTGCCCGCTTTATTTTCCTTTCTCAAGATCTGTCAGAAGATCTTCGCCTCCATCGATCCAGAAACATGATAAACTCAGTAGGCAAGTGTCCCAAGTGTCTGTCAGTGGTTTTGAAAGTGCTTCGAGTGACAGCAGGGCGTCCTCCAATGCCAAACATCCTAGTGACAGACAGTCCAGAAAAGCATTTAGAAGAACTGTTTTCGGTTCTCCAAAGGACCTTTCGATGAACTGTTCTTAAAATAACCTTTTTTTATTAGTGTGGATAAAATTTTGATAATCTGATAATCATTTTCCACTAAAATCCTTTGAGCAATTAAAAGGTTCTTAAAGGTTCTTCATAGAACCATAGATTCCAATAATGAAACTTGCTTTTTAAGAGCGTGGTAGGGTGGTGGTTCTGTGGATACAGCACAATCCACTTGTGTGGAATTTTGTTTTGCATATCCTGCTTTGCATAGCTTATTCTGATAAAATAGCTGAAGGAAATAAAGTTCTCATTTATACATGGGCATTTTCGTCAGGTTTAATTTATTACAACCATAGATTATTCCCATTTACAGTAAATGGCCTTGATTTCAAGTTTGTCTTTTTTTCAGATGAGAATCCAAAGGAATAGTAAGACAAATGTAATGGTACAGCGACGTAATAAATGTTCTCTCTTTCTCTATCCATAGGGGTCTACATCCTCATTGTGGCAGGTGCCATCATGATGGTGGTCGGGTTCCTCGGCTGCTGTGGCGCAATCAGAGAATCAGCTTGCATGCTGGGACTGGTGAGTCCTCCCATATTCTTCAACAGCACAAAACAAATAGATTTTGTTTGACATTAGTATTACTGATGTAGTTACACTGTTAAAAATAAAGGTTTTTGCAGTCATTCCATAGAGGAACCGTTTTGGGCTCCTCAAAGAACCTGTCAGTGAACAGTTCATAAAAGAATAATTTATTTCTTCCTGTGAAGAACATTTATAATCTGAAGAACCTTTTTCTGCTTGAAAGATTTTAAAGGTTCTTCGTGGAACCATAGATTCCAGTAAAGAACCTTTATTTCTAAGAGTGTAGTTTTTTTTTGGTGGATGGTTATCATGTGGCTTTGACCCACATTCATGATTTACTCTTTTTGGTTGGCAGGATAATTTAAACAGACCAAATGAGAGTGTCTTTGCCAAGAAAAGACTATCTTTAGTTATTGCTGATGTCCTGGTTCACCTCTGACTTTTTCTTGCTCTCTCCAGTTCTTTATGTTCCTGCTCATCATTTTTGCTGCAGAGGTGGCCGCTGGAATCTGGGGATTGTCCAATCAGGACAAGGTGGGTGACAGAGTCAAGTCACATTTATTTATATAGTGCTATCCACTGCTTCGGGTATGTGTTCACAGTGTGTGTTCACTTTGGATGGGTTAAATGCAGAGCACTAATTCCAAGTGTGGGTCACCATACTTGGCCACATGTCACGTCACTTTTTTTTAATGCAAAACAGATTGCCTTAAAGCAGCTTCACAGAAATGAAAAGGAAGATAGCAGTGTTGTACAATTTCAACAATAATAAAATGACTTTGATTTCAGCTGTAAAACACTTTAGAGAAGACAGTTGTCTTTTAGGTCAAGTCAATTCGATGTTGATTCGATGGCAATGTCAATGTTACAAAGTTCATCACTCATGAAACAAAATGTATAAAGTAGCTCTAAAGAAGGCAATAGTGTCATTGTACAGATCAGCTGAGTTCAACATTGATTCAATTCCATTCAATAATTGTCAAAGTTGCAAAAGTCCCTCAATAATAAAATGACTTCAAAGGCAGCTTTACTGAAGACAGTAGTGTCATTATCCAGTTCAGTTCAGTTCTCATCCATTAGCGTAAAGTTAATTCTCTTTTAAGGCCCCTTTTCTCATGATCCTCTTTCATTTTCCCACAGTGTGACCTCTTCTTTCTTTCTCTCCTCCTCCTCAGATCGTGATGGATCTCCAGCAGTTCTACACACAGACGTTCAACACCTACAAAAATACTAAACAGGAAGCACTGAGAGAAACTCTGCGAGCCATTCAGTACGGAGTAAGTGTTCATTTTTATGGTTCATTCAAACCACAACATCTAAAACATTGAATGAATGGAGGGAAAAACAGCTTAACGTTAATCCAACTGAATATATTCTGTCTGTTTTTGATTAGTTGCAGTGCTGTGGAACATCAGGAACAATTTTTGATGGAGCAGCTGAAACCTGTCCCAAAAAGGAGGGACTTGAAAACTTGGTCACAACGGTAGAAATTCAATAATAATTAATCTTTTAAGTCTCCTTTAGATAAATGGGTTTTTCCATGTGCCGTTGTTACCTCTTGTGTTTCTACTCCAGAACTGCCCAGATGCTATTAAGGAGGTCTTCACCTCTAGGCTTCACGTGATTGGAGGAGTTGGGATTGGCATTGGTGTGGTCATGGTGAGGAGATACTTGTTCATATGCTTCAGTGCATTTTCACCTAAAAAGCTTTGACGCTCCAGAGCTTGTAGCAGAGTCTTTCTCCTCAGGTCACACTGCTGTCAGATATTAACCGTGTCTCTTCTATGGGCAGATCTTCGGCATGATCTTCAGCATGCTGCTGTGCTGCGCCATCCGACGAACCCGGGACATTGTATGAGCTGCGGTTCCTGCTGCAGCCTCATCTGCTCTGTATTTATCTGTGTTTGTAAAGGTGTGTGTGAGCGTGTACGTGTTTGGAAATCACTCTGATAAACTTCTAACAAGCCCAGCTTTAGTCAAGCACTCTCAACTGTTACAGGTCATGCATATGTTGAGTGGAGCAATGAATTGCGCTAGAGGCTATTTTTAATTTCTTTGGTGTTTCAACTAATGTTCTTTTGCCTCTTTGAATGTACTTGTAAGCTTCTGGCATTCTTTTGTAACGTTTTACGTGGCTTATTTTATGTACACACATGGGAGAGTAACACCTACTGTAGTAAATTACCAATAAAGTTCATAACTAATTGACTGATAATTTTTTATTTTAAGCGAACTCTTATGTGACAAAGTATTAAGCATATGTATTCTGCACTGCCCTCTGGTGATTTTTACAGTGCACTGACATCCCAACATCAGTTTTACTTCCAAAATTTAGTTTTAAATTCCAAAATCCCTGCGTTTAAGTTTCGTTTATTGTTAACCCCTTTTATAGAGTTTCAGAAATCCAATTTGAAGGAATTACTATTTTATTGGGTTGTAACAAGTTTTATATGATAGGATAAATAACCAAAAATAAAGAGTCGGCTGATATATTTTCAAAATCCATTTTTGGCTAAAATTAATAAAATTGGCCACTTTATAATGCACCATGACTGTTTAAAGAAGTGAGATGGTTTATATAAAACATTTTTTGTTTGCTATATTTACAGGTAGGCAAATTATACATTGTAAAACAAACAAAAAAAATGTTGCAGTTAATTGACAACTTAAAATTTGTTGAGATAAATATCCATCTTAACTAAACTAAATAATGTATCCTTTTAAGTCAAGCATGAACACTTATATTTAGTTTTCATTTTTTTATCTTTTGTTTTCTGCCCTTTTTTCCTTTCTTCTTGGTGGCTCCAGTCCAGCCAAATCCTCTGAACTCCAAGCAGTCCACTGCATTATGGGAGATGTAGTAGACGTTCTCCATGGCAGCTGGACTCAGAATATCCACATCTGTCTTAGAGGATTTGGCACTGACAGACCTCTTCTTGGAAGAGCGCTTCCTTTTGCTCTTTGCTGCAGGCTTGGAACTTTGAGATCTTGACTTTTTGGTACCTGAAGGCTATAAAGTGTATAGATTTTAGGAATGAATGCAAGATATCTTCACACATTTCAACCAGATGTTTCTCTTTTTGTCTTTTATGAAAATGAAAAGTGAAGATAAAATGGAAGATAAAGTTCTTACCATTATTTAGTGCCTTCCGCTCACACAATAGTTAGACGCTTGAATACACTTGCTCCGGAAAAACTGTGAACTGACCCTTATCAATGCATGTAAGGTAATGCTTTCCTAGATTTTAAACTCATTTTGCAATCAGCTTCAACAGAAATTCTATCCAAAAGCTGCCGTTCCTCTCCAATTTGTTCCTCGTTTATGAGGTCTTTGTTGTGTGCTGTTGTTTATCTAGGGTTGTCCTAGTGACGGGTCATGGGAGCTTTTACATGGGACTCATCCACCAACTGGCTTTTCAGGTCAGACCAGGATCTTTTTTGCTGTGACCCCCCACATGAACCTGCACTGTTTGAGTACATGTATCTGATCATACGGTAAGACTTAGGAGTGATATTCATAAACTGAGGAACAGGAACCTTCCTGAATATTCTAATAACTAGAAAGAAAAAAATTAAAATAACCAAAAAATAAATATTAGTTTTTTTTATTAATAAAGTTTTTTTGTTTATTCAAATCTGTTAATTAAAAGGATGTATATCTGGCAAACATACTGACATATACCTGAGTGTTTTTGTAAAATGATTATATTACATAGGTAATTATATTATATATAGTAATTACAAATGACTGTGATTGGTCCATCCTGACGATGCGCTGAGAAAAGTAACAGTTCCCACGTGGGGAAAAAACGCGCTTCTTCATTTTAGATAAAAAGAGAAGAGTTTAAATCGGATAAATACTTATTCATACAAGAATCAAACCAGCCTGCTCAGGAGGATCAAAAGCGAAAAACTGGCCTGCGACAATCGGGAAAGAGCTAAAGGTACAGTTTACTTTTTTTAGCTGGGCCTTGTCGCAGCGATTACATGCAAAAGTGTCGAAAATTAGCACTCAGGCATTTAATTTATGATGTGCCGAGTTGTTTTCGTAAAAACGGTTTATACAGCGTATTCAGTCATCGCCTCCATTGATATACGCATTACGCAGTTTTAGCTAAAGTTGGGAGTCTCCCTCAATGGTAGGAGCTCTGATGTAATTCACACATTTCACCACAGGAGGGCGTTAATTTGCGTTTCGCTGACTGCAATTTTGTAATTTACAGATCTAAGAATATGTTTCTGCTAATCAAAAGAGATGATTTAGTAAATGTAATCAACACCTAGTAAATAGCAGGATAATCAACAATGTATTAAATGATATTAATTAAATGTAATGCCAACGCCTCGAGTTATAACCGCAATTAATAGCAGCAATGTAATTCACATAATTCCCCACAGGAGGGCGTTTGGTTAAGTTCTTTTGATTTGCATGTTTTAAAAAAAAATGAAATTAATATTAAAGGACATTTAGTGTACAGATCTATTAATATATTTCTTCATAGAAAATAAATGTTTGCCATATGGGTTGTTTCTGAATATAATAGTCAATAATTTATTATGCAGTCTATGCAAAAATGTTATAATTCAAGATTTGTCTCTGACTCGAGTATAGCAATAGAAAAAACACAATTCACTTAACTCACCACAGGAGGGCGGTTTTGGCTAACTATTTTTTTTTTTATATATATTACAAATCTAAGACTATATATTCTAAGGTTTATTTAACTTCTGCCAAATCAAAGGGTAATAAACTATTTATTCGATATATTAAATTAATTCAAAATATCTTTTGGCTCGACTTACAGTCCCATGAACAACAACAGTAATGTAATTCATGCGCTGTTCAAGTGATCCATACAAATACTATTTTTTTTAAATGAAGGTAATATTCAATTACTTATATATATATATATATATATATATATATATATATCTTCAAACAAATAGTTGTTTTCCAGATATCTTGTTGCCAATAATAATTTAAGTAATTTTGAAGCTTCCAAAATAATTAAAGGTTTTCATGTGACTTTTTTTCATATACTGCTGTAAATCGAGTCCATTTAATTCACTCAGTTCACCACAGGAGGGCGATCAATAATAATAATAATAATCATCATAATAATAATCATAATAAAACAGCCGGCTCATGAGGAACAACAACAGCAAAAAACTGTATGATAATCGGAGAAGAGATAAATGTAGGCTACAATATACTTGTATAGATAGGCCTTGCCATAATAATCTTGTTGCAGCAATTTCCTTGAATCGGACACTTAACTATGTCAGGCAAACGTGTTTAAAATTAGCACACAGGCAGTTAATTTATGATGTGCCGGGCTGTTTCCATTAAAACAGCGGTTTATACAGCGCATTCATGCATCTTCTTATTGATTTACGTATTGCGGATTTTTAGCTAAAGTTGGGAGTCTCCCTCAATGGTAGGAGCTCTGATGTAATTCACACATTTCACCACAGGAGGGCGTTAATTTGCGTTTCGCTTTACAGATCTAAGAATATGTTTCTGCTAATCAAAAGAGAGAATTTAGCAAATGTAATCAACACCTAGTAAATCGCAGGGTAATCAACAATGTATTAAATGATATTAATTCAATGTAATGCCAACGCCTCGAGTTATAACCGCAATTCATAGCAGCAATGTAATTCACATAATTCACCACAGGAGGGCGTTTGGTTAAGTCCTTTTGATCCGCCTGGAGGAGGGCGGTTGATTTCTTTCCGCTGACTCAAATATTTAACTACACATTAAAAATATTCAATCAAAAATAATATATAATATAACTAAAAATGTTACTTTGGTTTAAAAAAAACAGGAGGGTTTTGTGATTGGTTAGGTCCCTTCCCTTTGATTCTCATGTTTTAAGAGAACATCGTCGGCGCCGACGCTGATGGCTGTCTCCGTGGCATGCTCCGCAGTTGTTTTTATGTTTTTGTTAGTGTGTCCTGTCTTTAGTTATATCCCTGCAATCAGTTTCACCAGAGACGAATTGCTGGACATTCGGAAGTACACACCACCCGATATTTCACCGGTTTTCGACTATTCTGATGTTTTGCTGGACATTGTAGTCGGGGGAGCTGTGGCGCTGATCAAGCACTTCAGGACACACAGACGGGGGAAGTGAGCCGGCGCGCTCGTGAAGCTAATGCCGAGTTCACACTGCACGATATTAGTCCGATTTTTCACTCGCCGACAGGTTTTGTGAAATCGCCGACAAATGCCCGACATCGGAGGCAAATCGGTGCTCGTTCACGCGAGTGACAATCACGCAGTGTGAATTATCAATAAGGCAGCGCGATTCAGGACGCCGTTGCCTAGCATCCATCTGGCGAACCTCCGCTCTCTACCCAACAAAACGGACGAACTCCTTCTGCTCTCCCGGACAAATAAGGATTTTTCAAACTCTGCTGCTCTGTGTTTCACGGAAACCTGGCTGAAAGACGCCATT